GCGATGATAGTGACTCAGACTAAATATAACCTTTTTGAGGTTTTTTGTTAGATTTGATTCCTTTATAATAAACTTCCATTGGATATTTATATATTTAAACGACGTTTTTGAATTTTTTAAATAAACATGTCAGGTGACTTACTTATTTGGCAGCTTCATTCGCGTGCGGAAGGGGAGGTTGGGGAAATTCAAAGGGGGGAATTAAAAAAAATAAAAATATTATTTACTCAGTATGATCGGTCCGTCTAGACTATTTCCCTCGGTCTTAAAAACGTCCCTCGGCCTTCGGCCTCGGGCCATTTTCAAGACCTCGAGAAATATTTCTCTATACGGACCTCCAATCCGGTATTTAATAGTAATAAAGATATTTTTCCCAATAAGGAAGGCCCATGTACTGCTGTGGCAATTGACCATTTGTATTATAGACTAAATTTTGATCTAAACAAGCCTAGACAAAAATTTTATCACAGCTTGAAAGAGCATCACAAAATTAGTAATATTCCAAAGTTTTGTTGCGAAATGTTGTAAAATTTAGATAATATAGCCTTGCGAAGTTTGCCGTTTTTTAGTCATTTTGCATTATGCGGGGGAAATTGACAGCCCAATAACCTTTGGGGCTGTCAATTTCCCGTTTGTAATACAAAATGACTGAAAAACGGCAAACTTCGCACGGCTATATTATCCGCATTTTCAGACAACATTTCGTAACCAAACTTTGGAATATTACTATTAATAATTTTGTGATGGTCTTTCAAGCTGTGATGAAATTTTTGTCTAGACTTGTTTAGATCAAAATTTAGTCTATAATGCAAATGTCCATTGAACAAAAGCCTGTATCAGTATATACCAGTATGTATTTGACTATTGATTTCATAACTTTAGTTTTCCATTTCTTTCCGATAAGCGTTGCATTGCACATATGACAATCTTTTTTATTATGCCGATACCAGCACCTCCAAAAACAATGGACAAATCAGTCTCAAATTAAAATTATAAAAAAGTAAAGTAATATCTTCCCCGAGCCACTGAACTATATAACATTGAAGGCTGACTTCAGTCATTGACGTAATCAAAAAGTGAAGCCAAAGATGGCAGATTTTGAAGCCATTCTTGCACGTCATTCTCAGTCCCCTTACCCGCGCGGCCAAACAATTTTTGTATTTTCATGGCGGGAAGTGATGGGTCCGCGACTCTCGGGTTGTGTTTTTCTTCATTTTAGAAGAGCAAAAAAGAAAACAAACTTTATTTATTTCATATAAACCTGATTTCCTTCATCTAATCGATGTGTGAGTAAATCTGTATTTTTCGTTGCTAATTCAACAACTAGTTTCAAACTTTTTTTTATATAAAATCTGTATTTTTATAAATTGGGAATTTATTTTTGCTTTGGTTGTTTTGTTTTTTGTTTCTATGGTGCTTTTCAGTTTTCACACCATTGTTTAGCTTATTTTAGTCCGTTTTCCTGACCTAAAACTGCTTTTTAACTGCAGCAGTTTTCGAGGCAGCTTTTTAGCCAATTTAATTCCATACATGTAAAAAAATTTTGTTTTTCTATTTTTTATTTAATAAAATCACTTTGATGATTGCCTTTTAAACTTAAACTGTTTATTTTAATGCCTTATTTATGTATGTGAAACCCTTGTCGATAGGGGCAATAGAGATATTTTGAAAGATTGAGTGACATTTGTGTTTTGTTTTGTCACTCTTTGTCATTTACAAAAACAGCAATCCCGCGCTATTTTGCCTTCTTTCCACTCAAATATCGCATCTTTTAAATATATAATAATTAAAATTTAGAACTGAACCCAAACAAAACACAAGAATTCAACTTTTCATTCAAATTTCGTATGTTTTTCACCAAATTTTTGCTCGGAAAATAAAGAAAAATATAAAAGTTTTGTTGACCGCGCACGTAAGGGGACTGAGAAAGAATGCCTTCAATTTCTGCCATGTTGGCTTCACTTTTTGAGCTCGAGTCAGCCTTCTAGGTTATATAGTTTAGTGCCCCGAGCCGACGGTGCGAAGCGCGAGGGTACTAATTCCGCCCGGCTATTTACACCTGGGGAAACGAAAGCATTGGGGAAGTCTAAAGTTCATCAATTATCGCGGGCGTGGGTGACCAACGATGGGTGGTCATCCTCACTGATCTCAAAAATATGGCGGACTGTCATGAGTAGCGGACACTGATTGGTCCAATTTAAAGTTTGCATTGTAACGACTGCATGACGACAGCGAAATCTGTGGCGACATAGCCCCTCGCCGTGCTGACAAAACCATTGTATTTTCCGAACATGAAGTATCTAGAGTAGTTGTCATGGTAACACGATAATTTTTTAAGATTATTCTTACAAATCGCCTAAAAATATCACTTTTAATTACAAAATTACCAATTTCCCAACATAAAATGAACATATATATGTTAGGTATGTTATTATACGTAATATAAGCTTCAATTTAAGGTAAAATTCAACCGCAAACGCTTCGCAAAACGTTATAAAGTGTTCTTTATAAAACTAAACAGCCTTTCAATTAAATGGCTTTATCGATAAACTTTGAGTTTGCAGTAAAATGATTTCAAATTCTCGCTTGCAAATTACTTTGCTTTCTTTTTTATTTAAAAAATTCAATATAATCAAGAAGGGAATCAATATTAAAGATACACTGAAATTATATGCTGTCTTGTTTAGTTGTTTCATACACGCAAAGGCCGTCGGGTTTTAATTTAAACCATTACAAATTATTATATAAAATCAATATTTAAAACAAACTTACCTTCGTTAACGTCGGCTCCCTTCTTTTAGCCGATTCTTTCACCCTTTCTTTTTTGAAATCTACAAAATCTTGCAAAAATGAAATATATTTGCAGGAAATTTATCAATCATCAAATCAAGAAATGTTTGGCTAGTTCCCCTGGTAGAGGAGAACTGATCACGTGATCGGCTAGTTGTTTTGTTTGTCGCGTCAGATATAACCCAATCCCTATCTCTAAGCCTAAACCCTACCTTAACCCTTACCCTAACCCCTAACCCCAACCCTAACCCCAACACTAATCACTATAACTAACTGATGACGTAATCTGTGATGCAAATTCTTCTACCCGAGGAAGTATCCAATACGGGCTACTGTAACAGAAACAATGATCAAACAATTCTATCAAACCACTGTAGTTGACAAGCTCCACCTGAGAGCTTGAGAAGTTTCCAGTTGAGAAGTTTAAAATAGTAAAAGCTATAGCTATCTAGAGTTAAATTTTTACGTACTAGATAAAACATGAGCCGCCAATCTGTATCTGATATACAAACTCGAGCCGATAATCATACTTAAAAAACGACCCTTCTTACGAGTTCATTGGCGAAGTAATTTTAAAAATAAACATTGTCTAAGCCGAGAAAATCAAAGCTGAAGTTTATGTAAATCAGGACAGATCTCTATCCGATTTACAAACATCGATTAAACATTCATTTCTTTTGTATTTTCCTCGTGGATTATTAATGATTTTTTAATAATTCTTATAAAACTCATTAATAATTTTTGAGGAAACTACAAAAGAAATGAATCTTAATCAATGTTTGTAAATCGCATAAAGATTTGACCTGATTTACATAAACTTCAGCTTCGATTTTCTCGGCTCAGACAATGGTTATTACTTCGCCAATGAACTCATAAGATGGGTCGTTTTATAAGCACGATAAAAGCATATAAGCACGATTCGCATCCGATCTTTATCTGATATACAAACTCTCGCCTTCGGCTCGAGTTTGTATATCAAGATAAAGATCGGCTGCTCATGTTTTATCTAGTACATAAAGGATTATGTAATTAATTAAAATTTTCAATTAAATTTCATTGTTCAAAGTACTGACTTCAAGTGTATACTATTAAGAATCCCAAAAGCCAATATGTTTGCGAAGTCGTCTCGATTGGCATCATCACAGCCACTAAAGGATGGAATATTACCACTAATAAGTGTCAGATAAATTCCTTCATCATCTTGATTGAAGAAACGTGCGCAACATGTTTTACATGTTCGTATACTAAACCACTTTCACCTCCAGCTCTACCGTTTGGATATTCTTTAAACATTTTACTGACCTCATTGACAGTAAAGGGTTTTTCCACTTCTGGATCATCAACAGCAATATGACGTTCGGTTTGGTATACAGCTATTTCAATTGAAAATTAATTAATTTGTTAGCGATTCCCAGCAGCCTTTCGCGCTCGTATTCGACTTTTCCGCTTTGCTTGTAGAACATGAGAATATACTTAAGAACGTGAGAAACTTTAGACATAGCCCGTTCCACGCTTTCACTGCAGGTAGTATCACTATGAGTATCTGAAATGTCTTCTAAACCTTGCTTGACTTTTGCTTTAAATACTGGTTCAAAATCTTATCGTGTTTAATTGTGTTCCACGCGATAATCCACAAAGGCTTTGGCCTTTGTGAATTTCCACTCCCTAAAACAGCCAAATTTAGTTAACATTAACTGGATTATGATAGTAGCTATGATAAATTTATGATTGCTTCTCTTTCTACAAGACATGTTTTCACTAAGTGGCATTCGTCCATTCTAATCATAATACGATCAATCGCAGTAAGATAGTATCCGTTGTCTTCCATTCATCAAAAATGTTTCATTTGCATGGACCACTACTACACTAGTAGATATGTGGGAGTTTCCGGACGCAAGAAAGTGGTTTCCATAAGATCATGATCAGCCACAATTACGCCGCTCTCGCTCAACGAATTGCATGAAATGCTCTAGGTTCACCAATCTGTCAACATAATAAAGCACCCATAAGCACGACAGAACTTCTGTTTTGCATGTAACTGATCAATTTCGTCTTCAAACTCTTCAATATACGCTTCCTATATATGTCAACGCGCATGTTCATTGGCGGTATATTTACAACAAATAAAGAACAGTCAGTTGCTAACACACCGGCAGCCATGATTCTATCAGACATGAAAACTGCGATAATGAATAAATATATATATTTAGATGTGCCTAGTTTAAAAACAAACATCATCGCTGAATCAAGAGAAACAAGTTATGAATCTTGCGGCCTCAAATGCGCGGAAAACCGTTTCTGTGTTGCAGTGAACTATAAGAAGAAGGCTGCGTGGAATGAATCGAACTGCCAATTGACGAACTCGACTGCACGAAAATTTGTCAATATCTCTAGCGAAAAAGAACGAGTCTGGACGTTCATAAAAGTTAATGTGGACCGAAGTCAGGTGGTAAGCAAGTATTATATACTTTTCGCAAAATGTGTAGACAAAGATTATAGATCCGGCCCCTGTTGATGTCAGAATCGATGTCAAACTGTTATAAAATATTTTAATTCCAGAGTTTCTCAAAAATATTGTTTTCGGAAAAGATAAATCCAAAGATACAGTTAAGGAATTATGTTCTGAACGTTGTGTGTTCGTTTCTTTCATAATTTACATAAAACTGTTGTTTTCTACTATTTTTAAGCTTTTAATTATATGCGCGCTGGTTGACAAAAATGCAGATATAAAATAATAGTACAATAGGGAAATTTGGTGGTTTGACATACAACTAAGGAGGAATTAGTATATTCAAATGTTGGTTTAAATATGAATCCACTATTGTACATAAAACAAAACCTGTCTGTTATTTAAACTTTGTCGGTCTCTAAAATGGATACCAGTATTTGTGCATGTGATCACGCAAGGAATTTTTTGCAGGCATCCTGCAGAGGAGAAGTAAATGAATGTCAAAATGGTGGAACAATGATCTGGCATCCAGTTAAAACGTTCGGCTGTCTATGTGGGAAAGGGTACGAAGGAGAAATTTGTGAAAAAGGTGGTAAAATTAATACGAGTATAGTCATGCATATATATATCCGATATGAAGGCATACATATACTAATTGATAAAACGAGCAACACTCCGCTATTCCACATAATATTATAAACCAACAGTAAAACAAATTAAATCTAAGTATATACATAGCCACTCGGTAATAAGAACAGCAATTCAATATATTATCTAGGTATATACCGTCTTTCAATTCTACCGGACAACTTCTAATTTGAGCTACTCCAACCTTTCACGGTTGGTTCCAAGGTATTTGGTACAAAAGAAATTCATCCACCTCCCAAACGGCAGATCGAGCAGTAATGTGTACTGTACATCGAAGCCGCATTCTTAAATTAATTTTTAAATCGTTAGTCTGCGTTACTTACAAATTTTTGACTACTTCTTTCCAATATATCATTAACTATGGAGAACAGGGAAGAGCCGTCCTTTGGGACAGCAATGGCGAGGCGAATGTGCTTTTACAGGTAATTAGTTTAGCTCGAAAATGCGACATTATCACCCATTGTACGATGAGTCTGTCATTTCGTAGGTGATAACCTTAATTTTGCTCCCATAATAATACTGGATACCTGATGAAGTATATTAAGAGGAGATTTTTTTGTATGTTACGTAACACGCGCTCAAAACTAATGCGTATAATATATCACTTGAGGTTATGACTAAATTCAAAATTTCTATTTTTCGATACGTTTCCGCAATCGACAAACAAACTTAAAAAGTATGTTTAGTGCTTTATTTGTAAAATAATGCTAAAAGTAAAATGAAGAGATTTTAGACGATACGCCAAAGAGAATATGATGTCTGAAGTTCAGTAAGTTTTGCTTATATTGGCTGTATAAATATGGCGTCAATTTTAAAGCATCATTGATAATTATATTTTAGTTGACAATTTTTGACTATTATTTTATGTTTCTCAACCGGCAGATGCATTTAAAAAGGTTGCTAATTGTATAAACTAGAGAATAAAGCTAAAACAAAGTAATTTCGAGAGGGACGCCAAAAAGATTTTAGGTTTTGAACACTTTTCATTGCAAATACGTGACATTGAAAAAAATTGCCTCTTACAGTCCTTGGACTGGATCAAAATTAATTCTCCTCAATTTAAATTAAATTACGTAGAGATTTATTCTTATGAGATGTCAATTGTAAATCTTTCAATTTTGACTATGTAAGAATAGATTTCAAGTTCTCCTATATATCTTGATCATGCAGACCTCCGCTTTAGTCTCGGATCTGATCAAATTGCGCGAACTTGAAATCTAGTCCAGTCCTCGCATATAGTTGGATTTGAAATATTACTTCAACATTGCTTGCAACGATAGTATGGCTTGCTGGGCATGAAACTATTAGTATTCATTATAGTATATCAATTTCCCAAACCAAGCACAAAAGGGCAAGTGCGTTCAGTTTCATGAAAATTATCGGGGAGCTGGGCGGAATGAAAACCCTCCTAGATCCCGCCCCTTCCACGGTGATATTCGGCATCTCTTTACGCCATTAGGCATGCATGTTTTCATTTCGATGTAGATTTTTAACAAAATCCCACTGTCAATTTAATTAAATTGGCTGCGCCTAGCTAGGATACTCATAAAACGTCAGAACATGATAGTGTAAGAAGATCGTGTAATATTAAAATGACAGATAAGTTTTTTAATACTGTATCTCGGTAAAAGGGCCGCAAACCCAAATTATGATTTTTGTAGGTGAAATATACTAGGGAGATTCAAAACGGGAATGCATTATATCTTCAGAGTAACAAAACCACATGCATCTTGACCAACTTCTTCAAGTATCAAAACGGGCAGATGCGATTCATTAGGGATCAGTCAATAATTAAAGGGAAGGGTGGGCTGGTGGAAAAAGAGGAGTGGTCAGATATTTTTGTGCATGGAAAAAAGGGGGGGGGGCAAACATTTTTGTGCAATACAAATATCTGCCCCGCGTGATTCCATTGTGTCATTAAACCTACAGATAAAAAAAGGGAGCAGTAGAACTGTACTAACTCCAACACAACACCATTTATTAAACTGATTTCAACATGAACATGTACATTGGAACAGCCGTTGACTCTAAAAATATATAAATTAAGAAAACATGTATATAGGGTAGCATGATTAAATGTTGCTTCACTTTATCGAACTGGAAATTCCGTATGTGCCTTGGCGGG